ATATATATATATATATATATAGCAGACCGGAGTTAGGCTGACCTCGGGACTCCGCGGAACCACAATGGCTAAACCAGCAAATCTCCGATGAATGGAGATTATTCTGGGGACCACCACATAACCAGTGAAGACTGGCCATTGAAGTATTCAAGAGTAAGTAGTTTTAACATCATTAAAACCTGCAATGACTTCCTTGACGAGCACTATGGTGCTGCAAGAACGCCTCTCTCCCACTTTCCTTTCCCTCTGTCTCTGTCTTTGTTTCTGTCCCTCTCTGTCTGTAGAACAGAGCGTGAGAGAATAAAACAAAAGTAAGCCTAGACAGAGTAGTCAAAATTGCCACTAATTCTAAATCCTCATCATCAATTGCCTCCCAACAGTTTACCGCCTCATCGCGGTTAGGAGCTGTTACTGGGTTTTGGACTGCGATGTACAGCAGAGAGATTCGTACTCCCGCGGCAGAGTCTCCCAAGCTCAGAAGGAGTCCCACGTTTCTAACAGGAAGCCTAGGTAAGACTAAACCAATACCAGGATCCACCACCATCTTGATATCAAGGTCGCGTGATGGTAGATCTCCCTCTGATCCACAAGAGCTGCGACTGCCTGTCGTGGTGACTGGGGCAAATAATTGCACAACGTTGTACTAAGATAAAGAAAATGAATGAATCGTTAAACTTATGCATGTATAGCGTCACGAACCTAGTTCATCGTCAACTACATCCACTTGGTTAACAAAAAGCAGAGTTCAGTAACGACGTCGAAAATATCAACATACAAGGGATAAACATGAAGCTCTCGACATTGATCAATCCCTGAAGGATGGGCCATGCATTCAACTTCATTAAGCATCGTTGGAGGTGATTGGATGTATATCTGGCCTTTACAATGACACACGGTGGCCTACCGATGTATCGAGCTAATGCTGCTATTCTCCGAGAGAATTCTGATACCACTTTGTCGAGCCTGAAGAGATGGAAGGCTTGGTGACCCTGGAGTTCGAGGACCGAACTCATGTGTATTACAGGGGCCTCTAACCACTGTACTACACTTATCCTCCGTGTAAAGCCCTCTTTTTTTTCAAAATGTAGTAGAAAATTCTAGTGTGGAGATTCAGAGTAGGGGGACGCATTCCACCACTAGACATTCAACATGATGTCTTCGCAGACCTAAAAAGCTAAGTCGATGCGAATAAAGTTTGGGCGCGTTGAATTTCGAATGAAGTCTGTGGATCATGGACAGCTCTAAAAGACAGAAGAGTACGGTGTTTGAACCACAACGTTCGAGGGCGTTCTTCTAATTGGCACAGCTTGTGTTCTGGATCCGAAGGAGAACGGCGAAACATCTTGCAATGGGCGTCGTTTTCTTCATTAATGCTTGACGCCCCGTGTCAGCCCTATAATGGTCATATTCACTTTAGCGGGTTATAGAGTTTATTAGCCGCGTTGCGTATAGCCATTCGATGCCTAGCTGAAAGCAGGTCGAAATTATATGAGTGGGAGCACAGTAGGCATCCTCTGCCCCAAAGAATTTGTAAAAACGCCATGTCCGACGAGTGCATTTGCGTCCACACACGGTAGAATACGACACATCTAAAAGTGTACTGTGTATAAGGAAGTACGTTATCGAGAAGACAGTGTGCATGTTATTTAGCAATGAATATATGGTTGAGGTCAACAAAGTTACAAACAGTCTATAGGAGACCCTGAGCATCAACAAAATAGTTGGTCACCGACGTGATTTGTCGCGTTGCATGTTTGGAAAGAATTCCCAATCATTAATCCCATAATTCTTCCCCGTTTTTGAAAATAGTTCTTAGAAACACTTATATTGCCACTTAAAACCTTCACGGTTTATTAAATTAGTCTTTCGCATATAGTAGGGGGTTTGGTTGGGCTGAGCCAGATCGAATTAAACGGCATGGCATTGGCGTGAGAAAATGCCTCATGTTTTTCTATCAAAACCAGGTATTTCTTGTGTGTGGGTACTTTGTGGTTTATTCATCAACTTCATGTGTTAGATGAGCGCGGAATTTTGAGATATTCGCTTATTCGTTACACTGTATAACTACGTGCTTGGATACTTGAATGGTCCGTCTTCACTGGTTGTGCTGGGCCCAGCATAATTTCCATTCACCGCAGATTCGCTAGTCTGGCCATTATGGTTCTCTGGAGTCCCGAGGACAGCCTGCACAAAGTCCGCCCATGTCGTCACTACCACAGGCAGTAGCCGCCTACGTGGATCAGAGGGAGATTTGCCACCACGCGACTAGTTTAGATACCAGGAAAGAGGTGGATGCTGGCATTGGTTTAATCATCGGACTGCTTCTCAACTTGATAGACGGCGTCGGGGATGAACCCCCACCGTATATCACCGCCCCACACCCTAGAACACCTCCCACCCTCGATGAGGCGATAAACCGTTGATCAGCCATTGTTGCGCTATTGTAATTAAAAGAGCAGCTTTGAATACTGTGGACTCACATATGACTTCGATGACAACTTCAAG